TTGGTCTTAAATATAGTAACTGCAGAAGACTTGCATCTAGAGCAGCTAGATGTCAAGACAACATTCTTACTTGGAGATCTTGATGAAGACATCTTATGGTGCAACCAGAATGCTTTCAGGTGGCTGGAAAGGAAAACATGGCGTGCAAGTTAAAGAAAATCTTGTACGATTTGAAACAAACACCGAGGCAATGGTACTTGAAGTTTGACAACTTTATGAGGAGGAAGGGATACATGAGATGTCGCATGAACCACTATTGTTACTTGAAGAAATTTGAGTCTTTCTATATTATATTGTTGTTATATGTTGATGATATGTTGATTGTAGGATCAGATGTGAAAGAACTCAACATATTAAAGAAACAACCATCTCAAGAATTCGAGATGAAAGATCTAGGGGCAGCAAAACAAATTCTTGGTATGAGCATCAAAAGAGATAGAGTAGATGGCACTCTAAAGGTATCCCAAGAGAAATACATTGGGAAGGTTCTAGATAATTTCAATCTAAAGGATGCTAAGATCATAAGTACACCCCTAGGTCAATTCAAGCTTACAAAGGAACAATCACCTCAAACAGATAAAGATAAGGAAAAGATGGCAAAAGTTCCTTATGCATCTGTAGTTGGTAGCTTGACGTATGCCATGGTATGCACAAGACCATACATTGCTCATGCAGTGGGGGTTGTTAGCATATTCATGTCAAATCCAAGAAAAGAGCTTTGGGAAGCAATCAATTGGCTTTTACGCTACTTAAAGGGCACATCTAAGCTAACACTATGTTTCAAAAAGAAAGGTGTTGTATTCGATGGCCATGCAGATGCTGACTTGGGTGGTTGTTCAAACTCAAGCAAAATTACTATTGGTTATATGTTCACAGTGGGAGGAACAATTGTTAGTTGGATCTCTAGATTACAAATAAGGGTTTCTCTCTCAACCACATAAGCAGAATACATGGCACTTGCAGAAGCAAGCAAAGAGCTTATATGGTTGAAGAACTTTCTTTCAGAATTAGGTATGAAACAAAAAGATTGTGCTTTATACTGTGATAACCAGAGTGCAGTAAATCTTGTAAAGAATCTGGTGTTTCATAATAAGACGCAACACATAAAGATGAGGTATCACTTTATCCGAGATTTGGTAAGTGATGGAACATTGTCTTTAAGGAAGATCCTAGGTTCAAAAAATCCGGCAGACATGTTTACCAAGGTGGTGACAATTGATAAGTTGAAGCTTTGCATATCTTCAACTGGCCTTCTAGATGATTGATGAAAAAAGGGTCGCACTAGTAAGAGGGACTTATACATGTTAGGAGTTGAATGGAGTTATGGAACATGGATGGCAGTAGACCTTATCAGCCTCCAAGTGGAAGATTGTTAAGTTATGAAGTCTGATTAATTGGCAGTTGAACAAAATATTAAAGAAAGGAAACTTTCAACATTTTGTATCCGGCCCACTTGGGAGTTTAACCTATTTTACTTCTATAAATTCAATCTCATGTAATTGTAAACCCTAGCCGTCATATCAATAAAATTCTTATTAGTGTGGACGTGGACTAGCTTGATCAAACCGATCAAGTGAACCACGTAAAATCTCGTGTGTTATTTTTTTTTCCTGTTCTTATTTTATCGACGTGTTTGTGTGAGTGATCTTGAGCATCGTTCTCAACAACTATCATGACTTGATTTTTTTTCGATTACAAATAATTAATTATTAGTAGAAAAATACATTTGTCTAACTAATTATCTAGAAATTGATATATAACCCAAAAAATTATAAAATATTTGATCACCATGGATTGATATCATGTTTTCTAAAGCAATAAGGGTGCGTTTGGTGCGCAGACAGGACTGGACAGGACAGGACAGGACAGGACGGGACARGACAGGAYAKGACAGCTGTTCAGCGTTTGGTAAGACAGGACAGGACATGACAGAACTGGTTAAAATGACCAATTTACCCCTAGTGAGCTGTTTAGTGTTTTTTTCACTACRAAATGCGGGGGCAGTGGGTTCATCATCTTCATCCACAATATCAAACACATTTACCAAAATTCAAGTTAAAGTCACAAACGATTCCTTAGTTCATCCACAATATCAATCACATAAACGGTTCCTTAGTTCATTACCAAACCAAAATTCAAACACAAATTGATGCAAGGAAGACACTGTTAATCGAACACAAATTCATTACCAAACCAAAATACAAACACAAATTCATTACCAAACCAAAATAAAAACACAAATTCATTACCAAACCAAAGGGAAGACAGAACTCGATTTGGTAAGAAGGTAGATAAACATTGATGGGCTTTAGCAAAGTGAGCTTGCCTGAGCTCATACAGACTATGGGAGGAGATCGATTCAGGGAACTTGACTATGATACAACAAATCATAGTCGTAAAAATTGACAGAGGGRGATTTGGGAGGAGATCGATTCAGGGAAATACCTGATTGTTGTGAGACAGAAGATAGACAGATGTAGAGATGGTGGAGGCGACAACCGGCGACGGAGGAGACGGAGACGGTGGAGGCGACAACCGGTGACGGAGGAGACGGAGACGGTGGAGGCGACAACCGGTGACGGAGGAGACGGAGACGGTGGAGGCGACCGGCGATGGAGACGGTGGAGGCGATGGCAAAGCTATGGAATGCGACGTGAAGGCGACGTGAACTCGGGAGAGGCAGCAACTCATGGGAGACGATGAGATCGATTGGAAGGAGCAGCGGGCTGTTGCCTGTTGAAGGTCGCCGTCGATGGGAGGAGCAGCGGGCTGTTGCCTATTGAAGGTCCCCGTCGATGGTCTTGTGAAGGCAGAACTCGTGTGTAGGGGAAGAAGGGGTAATGAGGGAAAAAGACTTCTGTTCCACTTAGTTCCAGGGTTAATGGTGGAACACGCTTGTCCCATGCTTGTACAAGTTAGTTCCACTTAGTTCCACATTTAGTCACACCAAACGTAGGACAAATGTGTTCTGTCCTGTCCTGTCCCACCCTGTCCAGCGTACCAAACGCACCCTAAATGATTGTCAAAACTCTCTCGGGTTTAGTAGGTTGTCGCATCAGGCAACTGATGGAGTAGCATAAGTTTTAGACCTGATCTAAGAAAAGGTTCTATTACCTTCGTAGGGTTGGATTCCAGTGAGAAGGAAAGTTAAGGTAAGAAATGTAAAAAAACGATCTTCATTTTTAGATGCACATTAGGATGAGATGCACAGAGATACATCAGATCAATCGTGGTATCAAACACGAGTCATGGGTGGGTTTAAGATTAAAGGTGATGAAGTGTTCAGATTCCTTCTTACGCTTCTCATCGTAACTCTCTTTCTCATAGATCCTTCACCTACCTTCATATAAACTATTATTTTCTTAGAAATCATATGTATGCAATTGGGTTTAATCAAAATGGACAGTTTTATATTAAAACTGTAAACTAAACCAGGTAAACTCAAAGTCAAAATTTCAAACCGACTAACCAAGTATGAGATATTGAACCCGTCCAAACCGGCTAAATCGCTTATGGTCGACCCGTTTAATTTGGTTTCACCAATATCGTGGAAATGTATGCATTTCTATTTATTTTTATCGGAAATATTTAAAATTTATATTTTCAAATTAAATAACAGTATGTCCATTTTAATAAAGTTGGTGTGTATTTATTGATTATGCATTGTTACAAAATACTATTTGACAAAACGGACAAAAATAACTCAGAACATGGTCGAGTTGAGGCCCACGTTCAACACAATTTCTTTAAAATAGAGTCGGCCCCACAAGTGACGCTCGTTTCTCAATATATAACGACTAGCAGGATTCTGCGATGAACCTCCTAAGTCCTAACTAGAATCACGCATGAGGAAGATCTTAGTGTATGTACAATTCGTACAACGTCAACATAAATGGTAATAGAATAGCGAGTTCCGTAAACTGTAGACTTGTGTGCATGCTCATGAAAAGAACCTTCTAGACATTGTAATTTACTTATTCCATGTTTCTAGATATTTCTTTGAGTGATTTTGGGTTATAAAAGGACACCTTTAAGCTCCTATTTCCATCAGCAAACATCGACGCCTCTACCTCTCTCTTTTGAAGCTTTGCTCCCCTGAAAACATTTCATTCACACTTTCACCTCTTACTCTTTATTTATATTCTGTTGTTACAAGATATACTAGGGTGCCGTTTATTAAACACTTGCTTGGGTAAACGCTTACCAAGTCACATTACCTCACCGGATGAATATGGTAAGGACTAAGAATCTTACCCGGTAAGAGCGAGACAAGAACCATGAGTCTTACCCTGTAAGTGATGGCGATCGACTCTTACCACTGTAAGCGCTTAGCGGGTGAATTGTTGCATACAATGTCGTTTTGATGTGTCCATTTTCATGTTTTTCTTATTTTGAACATGTTTTTGTTTGATCCGTTTTAAATACAAACCATGTAATTGTTAAAAATCACACAAACCAATCTTAACCGTCCATCTAAACTAATGAATATTTGATTTTCATGCATAAAGCAATGGTCATAATATATAAACTATAATATCTTCCATAAATATCTCGAGTGTATCCTAATATAAGCTTTACATGGTTTGTATTAAAACATTGTCTCCTCTCTCTTCCTCTATATAAATCATGGTTAATACAAGTTCCGACTCTTTTAGAAAAAGGAAACGATTTCTTTCAAAAATTACCCTTCTTTTTTTTCCTTCCAAAATTTTCAATTCAATTTTAGACAAAAATACCGGAACTACCGGCCATCAAATACATATATATATATATATATGTATATATATATGTATGTATATATATATATATATATGTATGTATCTATATATATATGTTAATCAATACATTAAATATTATACTTAGATTAAAAAAAAATCAAGTGAAACAAAACCTTAAGTTCTTACAGATCCTATAATTTTTGAAGTTGTCATATGAGCATGTATATGATTTATATAACGATGCACACAAATAAAACAATCATGGGATGACAGATCATTCAGTTTGACGCTAATCACATGCCATTCATTATGAATCAATTTTTCTGGGTGTTCAAAGAGCAGGGTTGCAAGTTTGCAGATATAGTGAAGATGTTTAGCATTTCTAAAGTCTAAATGAGCTTTACAAAAGACAAGGTGATGGCCATCAAACCTGTGCCAAACAACCAATCAAATCGAACCAGTTGACTACCCGTGTTCGTTGTGCTTTTCCCTGCTGTAGTTGGGGCCGGAGCAGCACCCGCCTCCGGGAGGTTACACATTCCAAACGTCATGTTTGGCTGCACAATAATCAAATTTAAATATCGGTGAACTTTTTTTGATCCGCTTGCTAACAAATGTTAATCAATGATCCATTTTACTGCTCTAATGATGATTAAAATTTGTAAGTATGCGAAAACAGTATAGTACTGATGAATGTTGCATACCCTGCATACTGCAATGCTGTTACAGCCACAAACTAGCTCCCCGTTGGCCATATCTACAGCAGCAGGTGCACCCCCACCGTTGCTCCTCTGAAAATTTTGATTGCCCATTTAACTTCAATTTCTTTTGTAGTCACATATGATATATTATCTATGTCATGGGTATTAATTGAAATTACCAAAAAAGTATGCGGATACCTTGTAAAAGTCGACAGCAATGAAATTAGGCCACCGTTTACCGGCTAGATCATGGCATGTGTTCATCATGCTTATTAATGGGGCTGAGTTGTACTTGCAAGATTGGGTGATATCCGGGGTATCTGGAAAGTAGTTCAGCAAAACCAGTGATCTTGATTTAGTGTTCATAGCAGCGGACTCTGCACGGTTAGGGCATAGACCACTTTTCATCCCATCAGTTCCGTCTGCAATTTCAGTCCATTTGGAGCAGTCATACTTATGCTTCCATATGTGTTACACAAATGAGATGTTTCTAAATCTAGATTGAACCAAACCAAACCAAACCAAACCAGCCTAGTAAATCCTGTTCAGAGGTGGGTCTGGGGTAAAATGTACACAAAACTGATTTCTACCCTAAAAAGTAGGGCAGTTGTTTCCGTGAAGACCCCCGGGCTAGTGAAAGTGTGTAAAAGGGAGGAATACGGATATGCTAAAACTTGAAAAGCCAGATATGAGTAAACAACAACAATGCAACCAGAAAGAGATAAAGATAGATATGCTAAATTTTGAGAAAGTGGATATGAGTAAACTCTAGATTGTGTAAACTCAAAGAAAGTTGATTTAACTCACATTGATTCTCGACCAAGTACTTCCACTCATATGCAATCCCTTCCGTCTTCTCTTTGGAAGATTTGGAGGTGAAAACTACCAAGCGCAAATTCTGCCGGACCATGGAGTCAACTGTGGGCCAATCACGACCATCACTCGGCATTCGAGATGCTGGAAACCAGAATTTCCTCAAACCAGCAGCGTTGAAGACATTGCTTAGACCATTTGGAGAAGTAACGTAATCTTCAATGATTATAGTAACGATTTCAGTGGGATTCTTTTCTAGGAAATCTCGAACCTCTTTCAGTACATTGATAGCAGGTTGCTGATGGTATAAACAGGGTCACTATTTAGTGATTAGTAATTCTATAAGCAGGCAGCTCTTATGGACCTATGGTACTTATTTTTAAATATAAGTACAACAACTATAAATATGTCTGTTGAGGTTGATAATAGATGCACACTTTGAAAATTTATCATATGGAAAACGTATTTTGGGGTTTGACCTTACAGCGTTGATGCCACAAGTTAAGCTGCCGCATGCCCACATCAATTTTCATATTCTTATGGCATGCAACACATTTTCTAATGTCGATTATTTAACAAAAAGTATTGGATAAAGAAAAAAAGGCCTAAATGAAATAAACTGGAGTACAACAAAAACCCTGAAGCTACTTACATAAGCTGTATAGTTGAAGCATTTGCCACCAAAGGAATGACATAACCAAATGTCATTCTCAAAGTCATATAAATCAAGCATCAGTCCTCTCACGCCATTCTGCAGAAGCATTGTCAAAAAAAGAAGTTTCTTTAAAGGTCTTAAACTTTAGCTAATTCAGAGAATAAGAGATTAAACAGTTAAACTATATAAACAGCATGCATGCTTTCTAAAATTCTAAAATTAAGTAAATATGAAAGAAAATTATTGGATTCAACATAGCATCTGTAATTCAGATGCTGTTGTGTGATAGTTGCTGTTTTGACGAATGCTAGTATGCAACTACAACAAGTACGGCATCACAAACGCATGGTCCAGGAAGTTCATATATCCAACAATTCACATCCGTAAATTGATGAAATTTCTGAAATAGTGTAAATCCATCTACAAGTCATAGTATTCAAAACTTACATAACACCCTATGATTTAGATATTAGTATATCTTGTTACGGAGATATATAGCAAAAATAGGTCAATGCACATTCTTTAAGCAATCTTAAGGTTTGAATCAATTCAGCTGATTCAAGCACCTCAAGGTTTGCATTGCAATAATGAAAACACGGCTAAAAGATTATCCAAAGAGATAGCAACATGGGGTTTTCAACATTTGATAATCAAACCGAGAGTCAATCATGTCCAGGATATGTTAAACATCCTACTAATCATTGTCTTCATACGGAATAATTAATATGCCTTTACAGGTACATGACTATTAATGGGTTCTAACAGGCTGTTCTAATAATTAACGCATTGTCAAGTCATTAAAGAATTAAATCAAACACATAATTAAGTTTCCAACTTCACATTATTTAGTGGGGCTGCAAGTCTCTTTTGTTTTATAAGTGTTATGTCAGGTGTCAACTACCTTATCCATGTTATTCTCCATGAGCTTTGGCAAAATCATTAATAAGAACAAGCATGGGATGCTTTGTACTTTTACCTGCACTCTATCTTATCACTGAAGGCATATTTACCAGCCTCTTATTATACTCCCGTGTGGTAGGTGCATGCTAATATGAAATCAACTACTCCCTTGGTATCATTAAATTTCTACCACTCTCTATTCCAGAAACCTCTTGTTAGTTGTAATATTTAATTTTTTGCCAACTTTTAAGTTACTTAGCTAGTTGCTCCTAAGTCATTGTTATAAGAAACAGTCATGTTGGTTCGAGTCCAAAGGATTTAGTTCCATTGGAAATCTTATATCTGATCTCAAGCACTCTTATTTTGCTTGCATGTAAAAAAATATTTTAAATATTTGGCTAATATCAAAGAATTCATTGTTAAGCATGTCAAACTTATTTCCTCTCTTTCTTCAAATATAGAGATTTTCCATTCCCTCTCCTTTTCTTCTCTATTTTAGAAGAGAATTCAGAATGACTATTGGAGCAAAATTTTCTCAAATCTCCAAAATTTCTGATGCTCTAATGGTGGCAATTCTACCAAGAAAGAAAATACACACTCCGTCCCAAAATAAATGTCTACAATTAAGATGATACACAATTCTAAATATGTGTAATTATTACATATTTTAAATAACTAAATAACACTCCCAAAATAAATGTCTACAATTAAGATGGTACACAATTCTAGATATGTGTAATTATTACATATTTTAAATAACTAAATAACACTTTTACCATTGATAATAGGGAGAGAAACTTTCCTCACCTCGTAACTAAGGGTAGAACAGAAAAGTAGAAAGTTATTTTTGAAAGCCGACACTTACTTTAGTAGAAAGTAAAATATAAATGTGGACCATTAACTTAGGATACAATTTTAGTTTAAAATCCCACATCACGAAATTGCATTGCTACATGGGCCGTGACCATCCCATTAATTTGTATGGAGTTAGAACTACATGGTGTTATGTTGTAAATGATTTGTTTGTAGGCCCTGATTTTCCTAGTCGTAATTGACATGGATTTCTATTAAAACTCGCCATTGGAACTTTTAGTTGTTGGAATACAAGATAGCCACAAAAAATTCTTAACTCCCCATTAATTTTGAAGTTGAAAATCGCAAGTGAAATTACATGTTCTTGGGAACGAAAGGAATACAAAAAAGTGAAATAGAAGAAATTTAGTCCTCGAGGAACAATCATTTAGTCAAGCTTAACAAACATAATTATTCAAACAACAAATCTTTGAATTGCTGCCTTGGAATTAGAACTGTAATTAGTTGAAGAAAAAAGAGAGAATCTTACATTGAGCTGAGAACTAACAGAATCCTGCTGGTTCGAAGGAGCGAGAACGATAGAGCCAGTATCCGACTTCTCTCCCAATCTAGCGAATGCATTATGCGTCGTTAACCACGAGTACCGATTGAATGGCAATCCTTTCACCTGTAATCACACTCAATCACACATTTATACCAACCAAAACACCAATTTTCACTCACGCAGATACAATACAATATCTACGGTACCTTAGATAGAGGACTGAGAGGTTGAATACGAGTACACCGAGGACGAAGATTGCCGTCTGTGACGCAAGCCTCACAATGTAACCCTGAGTCACAGTTGTTATTGTTTACGCACGTTTGTCCTTCCTGATATATTATCCAAATACATATCAGTTCAACTAAATTAGCCATAAATGATACCTTCGAAAACATTTGAAAATCGACCTTGAGTGCTGAAGCATAGGTGAAGAGGACAAGTGTGGAGAAGAGAGTTGCCAAGAACACATTGCATCCAAATTTGATTCTCTGCAAAATTCAAGTCGCCTCTATAGCTAAGTTGTTCATGAAACCAAAAAAATACATCAGAATCACAGAGAAAGAGGATCCCTGCCTCCATTGATGAGAAATTTGAAGGATCAGAGAGATATATTTAGTGGAATAATCATCAGAATGTCGGTCTTGTTACATAAGAAAGCTGGTAAAGATGAACGTGACCTTTTAAATTGGCGTGCAGAGTTTGACAGTACACGCCGCGCCCAACTTCCTTCGTAAATAAACTTAGTTGTGTACCGTCTAATGGGTTGCACGGTGAGTTTTAACTATTTTGAAGTTTTATTAGTTTTATTAAAGAATATTTAACGATGATATAAGTTATATTTAGTCTTTATATATTAATACAATTTGAATAAATGAGAATTATGGTTTCAATCACAGTTTATCAATAAAAAAAATTGTATGATAGTTTAAAATTTAATATATTTAAAATCTAACATATTTAAACGACTTCACAAATATGTTCGATTTACACCAAAAGCAAAAAATCAAGAGATTAAGAGCATGACCGAGAGTTCTAGAGCAATTGAATGAGAGATGAATGAGATAATTTTTAATAACTTATGGTGAATATCAGTTTGAATCTCACATTGGGGGATGTAGAGAAGACATAGAGGCATGAGAGAGTAAAGTCATGAGTAAAAAATGTCAAATGTATCTTAGGAACATGAAAAAAAAAAGTAATAATATGTTGGTAACTTGTATTATATGTTATTTTAATTGTAGATTAAGAGATTTTAAAACTAAATACATAAAATAGTAGTACTTAATGCATTATGAGTTGTTTTTGAAACTTTATACATTAAAAATTATTTATAAAACTTTTGATAAATCTAATTTATACTTATTTTTTATATTTAATTCATAAATTCTTAAACAACACGTTTTCTTAAAATTACATGGCTCAATTTTTCCGCCAATAAAATAAAAACACATCAAACTTTTATTTTTTTAAATTTATTTAATTTATATTCACTTTTAAATAATTAAATTATATATATTTATATAATTGTTAGATATAAATAAGATATGAAAATTTAAAAGTGGTGATTTCTATCCAATGACTTTTTCCATTCTTTTTATATTATTTTAAAAATATGTAATTATTTTATTTAATAAACTAATTAATAATTTTATTATAAACGATTATGAGGTAAAGTTTTTTTTCTTTATTTTATAATCAAATATAGAGTTTGAAATTTTATATCTTTTTAAAATAAAAATGTGTATACTTATTCTAAACGAAAGTAACACTTCTTGAAATAAAGTCGTATATCTCGTTTAAACCGCACCTACTATGAGATATATTAAGACCGTTTACTTGGTTATTAAAAACTAAAAGAAGTTAAACGCAAACTTGGTCTCTAAGGTTTTCTAAAATTAACGAATAAGATTCTTGAAATAAGTTTAATTGAATAGCGTCGCTTTAGTTTTAAGTGCTTACCGGTAAAACTTAACACTATTATTTACTTACAGGGTAAGATTTAGACTACCAAACGACATTGTATGCAACAATTTACAAGGTAAGCGTTTATCCTGGTAAGAGTCATCGCCCTCATTTATCAGGTAAGACTTTTGGTCCTTGTCTCGCTCTTAACGGGTAAGATTCTTGGTCCTTAGCATATTCATCCGTTGAGGTACTATTACTTGATAAACGCTTACCCGAATAAACGTTTAGTAAACGACCCCTAATAACCTCACGTAACTCTCACAGGAGAGGTATTTTCACTCTTTTCATAACTTTATCCATTAATTTCAACAAACCACATGTACCGAATTTACATTCAACTCTATTTAAATTATGAATTATAATTATATATTTTAAAGTAGTTGTTGATTATCTTTTTTAAACAAATATAATAATAATTTTTTAAATTGCTTTAAATAAATAAATCATTATATTTGTATTATATATCGATTTTGTCAACGAAAAGTTTCATCATCTTTTTAAGCTCATTCAAAGAGATTTATTTGGTTTGAAATTTTATTTTATACAACGTTTGAAGAAATTTCAAAGGTTTTCATTAAATCTCGTTTTATATCTTTTTAATTAATTTTTAAACATGTTTATTTTAGTGATTTTAAGTTACCATCTAATTTATCAGCTAGTTTTTATTAAACATAGCTGATTTATCTACCAGCAGTTATTTTATTTAAGAAAAAAAAAACCAACAACTAATTTATCATATATAATTTTTTATGTGAAAATTGGTTTATGTGTTATTTAATTCGATCATGGTTGGAAAGCAAAGAGAGGTTACGAAACGTAACAAACTCTATTTCGCCATTTTAAGCCTTCCAAGCAAACATTTGCTTGACCGAAACTATGGACTTTTTTGCTCATGTTGCACTTTACCCCCTCTAAAGTTTGATGATTGGAAGAAACACCCCCTCTAGTCTAAGCAAGAATTTGCAACCGAAAACGATTTCAATGTCACAACCTCTTATGTTGAAAACCATGTCGTATGCTAGGGATAATTTTGTCGATTGATATTTTTTACAAACCAACCGATGTTTTGATTTATGAAATGATAGTAAACAGGAACCTTAAAACTCTAAAGAAGAAGAGAGAGTATTTAAGTACTGAATCGATAACGAAAAAGAAAAAAATGATTGAAGATAGCTCCTAAACAGAAACCGAGCTGCTTATATACTTAGCCATAAATTACACAAAATTGATCCTTGAAGTTTTACCAGAAATGCATCGGCGTCTTTCAGCTCTTAACAGCTACCGTCTAGATCCTTAAGTTTCTAGAAATCTACAGAAATACCCTTTTCAACATAATTTCCTAAAAAACAAGACCAAAAGTTTATAAATGACAAGATTGAACTGGAATAGACAATATTTAATAGATTTGGATAGTGATCAAAGGTTCATATATTTTGTTATGCTTATAATCATAACTTCTATTCTCATACGATATTTCGTCTATATTTCCCCTATATGTATGTATGTATATATATAGGCGAACGATCGTGTGAGAAGCGTAATAAGATATCTGAAGTTTTGATCACTTTTAATCTTATGTCTGTCCATGAATTGCGCTTTAGAATTCTCATCCAATAAAAATTGTATGATGTGTCAAAATCATCATGACAAAAAGAAAATGAACCGTCGTTTTTCTTCAAAAACTAACATGTTTTTATGTTTTAAAACCAATATTCCTCTTGGTTTTAAAGAAACCCTATTTTTTTTCTTTTGGTCTTTTTGATCCAAAAACTCTTGTAAAATCTTCACTTTTCTTGTTTATGGTATTATTTTACCTGGACTGTTTGTTGTATACTTGCATATATACAACAATGTATTCTTTTCTAAACCTAAAACTCAAAAAATCATTCTGTTGGTTTTCGAATGATTGATTGTTACTTTTTAGTATTTTAAATATTAAATCTTCTTGCTTCCTTCTTTCTTTTTCCTTCGATAATTGGTAGGTTATTTTTCGCACCCTTAGACTTATAAAAGAAACCACAAAGCAAGTATATAATATGGTCCATTGTCGTCTTTTTCAAATAATAAAGTGGTAAAAACCGGTTATCGTCCACTGAAATTGTAGTAAATGTTTAATAAGATTTCAATGAAAGAAATGATTTTTTATGATGAAATCGAAGACTTCACTGATTTGAGTTAACAATAATGAAACAACATAATATAAAAGGTTAACATGGATGTAAGACTTGTGGTGAAATGTAAACACAAATTCTAGCAGACAAAAATGTAGGAATGATACAACATGCAATAGGCCATAACTAATTCCACCATTTATTTTAAAGGTATTCCTCTCGGACTTCCACCATTGCACTATATTATAACTTTCAACTCATATCTCTATATGGTATCCGGACCAGGGATAATGACGAAATGGTGTCTTCAAAATATATGGATAAACAAATCCAGTTGTTAAAAATCACTTTTGTGAGACGATTCCCATATCATTCAAGTTGTCATGTGTTCTAGGTGGTTCATCTCTGAATCTACTGCACTTTAACACTTTTAACAAGCGACCAACATGTTGAAAATTGATTAGTTTGAAAGATATAAATGACAAGTCTCCTTGTCGGCAACTTTCTCAAGTCTATCTCTCATATCATTCAAGTTGACCTGCATTCAATGGCTTATCTCTAAGACCATGACACTTTAACACTTTCAAAATGATCAACTTGTCAAAAAGTGTCATTGATTTTTATAAAAAACTTGAATGAAATAGTGGAACATTATTATTGCGAAACAACGTCCACTTTTCTTCGGTTTAACATCTCACCCTTTGTCTTACACTCAAGCTAATGAAATTAGCTATTCATTACAGAAAGTAAATGACAAGAAATATTAAGAACAGAAAGTAAAGACATAAATATAAATAATGGAAAATAAATGATTGAATGTAAAGAACGGAAATTAAATGACAAGAAAAGTAAATAAAATAAAAATAAGAACAATGTTGCAGTAATATATCTTAAAGAACATTTTTTAAAGAAATTCAAGAACTAACTTGAATATAGAGAGTAACTTCATATCCGAATCTGATTAAGGGATAACAAAATGAGTTCTAAGTGGTTCTATTTATACTAAAATAGAAGAAGAAAAGATAAAGCTCTTGGGAAAGCAAGGGCTCCTAAAAAAAAGACAAGAAGTACAAAAGTAAAAGTGAGTATCACATCAAGTACAAAAAGCATTTTTCCAAAAATCTTATACTTCAGATCTTTAGTCTTTATCCAAGATTTCAACAAAAAATTGTCCTTATCTTCATTCAACAACTGAATTCATAAAGCCTTTTTAAGAAGTCATTTCTTAAAGATCAATGCTGGAGGAATGTTGCAACAAAGAATAATAGGCATTCAAGTTTAAGATTTAGCTACTTTAATGGTGTAAAGACAAGTCAATCACTTAATTTAGCTCCAAGTATAAACAAATGAAAAATAATGTAATAAAAAGGACTGAAGATTGGGATAAAAGAAAATTAACTACCTAAAAGTAAAGAAATAGGCGTTCCATGCCTTGAATAATCAATGCATGTCAACAATTCTTGACTAGAAATGGAATCGGCCGAGAATGTTAACTTTGACATCGAGGAGTGAACTTCAAATTCAACAATCATCTCGCCCTTCTCGAGATTCCAGTTGATAAGCAGCAGT